GGCCCAAATATGTCATAGCATGCACACCAATGCCAATGCTAGACATCAAACGCCGATCCTCCTCTAGTAAGGAACAGCTCCCCAAATCTGCCATCTTATCACGTCGCCTCAAAGTTTCCACACCAATGAAGTGTCTCTTATTGCCGTGAGCTCGACACAAATGCAGATATAGGTCCATCTTGTACCTCCCTCTAACATCAGACTGAAGTACCTTCACCTTTCTGCCAATACACTTCCTCAATTTGTTGCGGGCTTCTAGGACTTCACACCAATGGGACTTGGTTGCAACCCACCAATGTCTAGAGCAATCCCCAACTACGGAAACCACATACCTATTACCTCCCAATAATGCTCTCTTGGAAGGCCCCCGAATGCCTGAATGAACACCCCTCAGAAGACCCCTCGAATGATGGATAGAAGTGCCAAACTCCATCTCGGTCTTCTCGCTCATACCAATGGGTTCACAGGACTTCAAACTGTAGGTCATAGCACTCCTCAACAACCTATGCACGACATTACCAATCAAATAACCCAGCATCAAACAACGCCACAGTCTAGCCGAATCTGATGAAGTCGTCATCTCGCTATCAATCGCCGTGCTTCCAAGTAAATAATACAAAGTGCTCATTCTGACGCCCTTCATCACAATCATGGACCCCGATATGACCTTCAAACGTGCATCCACCAAGGTCACTTTATAGCCAGATGCCACCAAAGCTCCTAGTGAAATGATGTTCTTCGACAACTGCGGAACGAACCTCACTTCATCCAACTCCTGAATCAATCCGTCATACATCCGAATACGAACGGTACCAATACCACCAATAGAGCATGCATGTCCATTACCCATGAGCACAACATCCTCTCTTTCCAACTTCTGAAAGCTAGAGAACCAATCCCTCCTAGGGCAAACGTGGTATGAAGCACCCGAATCCAACATCCACTCTGTAGAGTTGGCAACACAAACTGACGGTAGTGCAGACAATGAATAGCCCGAAGAATCCGAATCTGAATTGTCACCACTAGTCTTGACAACATTCACCTCTGAAGCTTGTACAGCTTTCCCCTTATTCTTCTCGGCTCGATCTAACTTTGGGCATTCGGCTTTCCAATGTCCATCATCTTTATAAAAGGCACACTGATTCCTACGAATCCCACGATGTGCACCTCTAGACTGCGACCTCCTGCTTCGGTTTGAACCACGGCCATGAACTACTAATGCATCTCCCGATGCCTTCTCGGAGGACTCATCAACACTCTTCCTCAACTCATAATTCACCAACGCTGAGGTCACCTCCTTGTAACTAACAGTAGTTCTTCCATTAATCATAGTTAGGACAAAAGTACCATAATCATCCTCAGTCAACGAACACAAAAGTAACATCGCCTTGTCTTCATCCTCAACCATGATATCCACATTAGCCATGTCTGAAAGTAGCTTTGTGAAGTTGTTAACATGCTCCTTAATGGAAACTCCCCTCTTCATCTTGAACTGGTAAAACCTCTTCTTCAAGTGAAGCCGATTCTCAATGCTCTTAGTAAGACTGACACCTCCACAATCCGAAATTAATCTTGCCGTCGAACTTCGGAACATCAATCTTCATGTTATTGATGCTCAAACTATGTATCGTCTTCGTAAGAGACGATCCCGATGTGCTTGTTTCACCCATGTTGTCGATCTAATCTTCAAATAAGAATCCTTCAGCGAATCCTTCAAACAAGCTCCCAAGTCCAACCCGGAGCTCTGATACCACTTGTTGTGCGCAGCGGAAATTTCGGCAGCACCTCCGGTGCGCAAGGTGCACAACAAGAGATTAGATCACAATGAAATTCTCGTTTCTCAAAGGAAACAAGAACCAAAAGCCAGATATCTCATCAAAGTGAGATATCAGCTCTTCCTCTCGTCAGCTCTAGGACTGCGCGTCGAGGGAACCTACAAGCTATTACAAATCACGGCAAGAACACAAATTTTACGTGGTTCGGCAAATTGCCTACGTCCACGGGGCAAGGAGGGGGAGATCTACTAATAGAGGGAGAGATACAACTAGGGTTTACAATCTCTCAATTTAAACCCTCACACAAACTCTCAAATCCCTCACACAAAATCTCTCTCAAAAGAACACAAAAGGACTGCACAGAAATCCACACACAAAGTCTCTGTGTTGCACCGAAATTGCACTGCTCCTTTTGCTCTTTGCGTCTGCTGCAGCCGCCAAAAGAAAAAACCCCAACTTGCACTCCTTTGCAGCCGCCGCACCCCCTCAAAATTGCTCACACGAATACCTAGAAGACTAGGTATTTATAGCTATATGTGGATGACCTTTGAAACCACTTCATACCCGAACAAAATCGTACCCGAACGAACACAAAAAACGCGTGTTCACGTGTTTTGTTTTGCTGCCACTCTCTTCACGCGTTATTCTTCACGTGGGTTGGCCCCACCACACGTTCGTTCACAGTGACGACGTAGGATGAAGAAGAGGTGAACTTGTGTCATGTATGGGTAATGGAAAAAAAATAGACATTGCTGAAGGTAGAGAGGCATCATGATATGAAAAAGGGAATTTTTTTTCATGGAAGATGACATCTCTGCTTGTGAAGTACATATCTATGGCAAGATCAAGAAGGCGATACGTTTTTTTGGACAGAGGAGTAACTAAGGAAGAAACAACACTTTGCATGAGGACAAACCTATCACGATGAAGATAAGCTATAGTAGCATAACATAAGCAACCAAATACATGAAGATGAGTGTAAATCGGCTCATGGTTATGAAGAAGTTTGAAAGGTGTAGCTCCTTGAAGAAGAGGTGTAGAGTTCGATTAATCAAATATGTGGCAGTGAGAAGACAATCACCCCCAAAAAATAAAAGAGGTAAATTGGTTTCAAAGCATAGAGCACAAGGGACGGATAGAACGCGACGATGCTTGCATTCGATGACGCTATTTTGTTGTGGTGTATATAAACAACTATGTTGATATATGATTACTTTGTCATTAAAAAAAGAATTCATGATTGATGAAAAGAATTCAAAGCCATTATCAGATCGTATAACTTTTATGCTTCTATTAAATTAAGTTTTAACATAAGCATGAAAATTCCCTAAAATAGAAAAGCATTGAGATTTAAATTTTCAAAAATGTTCAAGTGCGACGACAATAATCATCAACAGTAGTTAAGAAAGCACATGCATCATTATGTGTAGACGCATAATATTTTCCCCAAAATATCAATATGACTTGGTTTAGCACTATAATTAGAACTAGAAGGAAAACAAAGAGTACTACTAAGTTTATTCAATTGATTAAATGATAAATGGCCTAATCGTTTATGCCATAAATCAAATGTAGAAGAGATATATAGGCAAGATGTTGACGTCAGTTATCGAATAGGAGGTTTATTTAGGGATTAATGTTGGGTTAGGGTCCTCAAGCTTCTCCAGATGGTTGGTCCGGGTGCCTGCTGTTACTTTCCTATACATGAAGAACTTGTAAGATGTCGAAGTTAGGTTCGCCGGTTGTTTCTCCGACGATCAAGTTGGTATATGAACTTGAGTGGGAAAATTTGAGATGATGAAGAAGATTTTAAAGTTGCGTGAAAAAGCCAGGCCTTACCGTGAGCTACATGACTTCCTTTTATAGTGGATCAGAATGGCAGAAGGTAACTTGAGCCGGCAGGCAGCTGACTCGATAGACAGCTGACAGGTGTCAGCTACTGGAGAAGATGAGTCATCTAGTAGTTTATTATGGGGAAGACAGCATGTGCTTGGAGCTGATTGGATCTGATGAGTCATAAAGCTATTAGGGCTAGAGCAATGATAACTTTGTCAAATCAGTTAATGCGATGGTAGTTGGTTGTCGACAGGGGTTTCAAGGACACACCGCTTCTCTAGCTGTCCAGCTGAAGAACGACAAACACTGCCTCTCTAGTTGGCTACGCAAGTTGTTGGCTGGAACAATAGACTGAGTACGAGTGCTCATAGGGTCGGTCTGGTTGGTAGGCCAACAAGTACCGCTTTTTTAGTTGGCTACGCAAGTTGCCAACTTACGAAATTGGCTGCAGGTACAACTCGAGCTGCTAGTTTCTCGAATGATCTTATTAAGCATGGGGTGGACACGCGTCAGCTTCCCAACATAGATTAATACTCAGTTAATTTGCAGCCTATAACACAAGACGTTTTTAACGATAACTCCAACTCTAAATAATAAAGTCCAACATATTCAAGGTCTCGACCAATCACTTTCCCCGTCGAGAGGTCCTGAAAGAGATAATAGGGTGGGAAAAAAAGTTTTGAAACATCTAAGATCTTGAGTAGTTTTCTTGACAGAAAGAGGATTGAGTTTAAGAGTAGGTGCACATAAAACACGTGCAAGAACTACCGTTGGTGTAACTTGAATTGATCCTATGCAAGACACAGGACCTGAATGGGCATCAGAAATGATAATAGGTTTCATGAAGGATGAGAAAAAAGCCAAATGTGCTCTGATACCATCTTAATAGTGGATGAAGATAGGGAAAATCTATGTCTTCTGTCCATTGTACATAGATTTATATAGAATATACAAGGTGTGAACTAGAGATTGAGGTTGTTTCTAAGTGATAGAAACAATTACAAGGAGATACAATAAAAAATACAATCAAAATAAATTAATAGATAGGAACAAATAAGATTTCTATATACAGATTAGCAAAGGTTCTATTATGATCTCAACAAAAAAAAGCTATAAAATAATATTCTCAGTGTCATATGAGAATATACGCGTACAAATTTTCACGTTTGCATGATCGAGAGTACTAACATGTTAATTACAGAACAATTTATGGTTTTCTTGGCCAAAAAAACAACTTATAGTATATAATTGCAAGATGGAAAAAATTTATATGGTATTTAAGTGCAATTTAGCCTTTTCTTAAGCTAATTAATATTTATTAATACCTATAGTTTATGTATATGGCGACGTTTAGATGCCCTAATATTGCATGAAACTAATCTTACCCCCTAAAACACCCTAATGGTATTGGACATCCACGATGCAATGGCATCCTCATCCTGTGCACTCCCTGAGTACACCCTCTCCAAACTCCTGAAATCCCCACCATTCTCTCAAAAGCACCTCAAAGCCATCCACTCTCGCATCATCAAGCTCGGCCTCTCTAACTCCACAATCCTCATCACCTCTCTCATCAACTCCTGCGTCAAATCCAATCTCCTCGCCGATGCCCACCAGCTGTTTGATGAACTGCCTCACAGAGACCTCGTCGCTTGGACTTCAATGATAACTGGCCATGCCCATCTGGGCTTTCACCAAAAGTCACTATCCTTCTTTCGCAGGATGATAGGTTCCAATGTAGCTCCAAACGCGTTCTCATTCTCCGGCGCTCTAGTCGCTTGTTCGGGCATCAAAGGGTTGAACTTGGGCCGAGAGATTCATGCCCAAGTGATCAAAAGACCTTTTGACCGTGTTGTTTGTAATGGGTTGATCGGGTTTTATATGAAGTGTCATTGTGTTGCTTGTGCTGAGAGAGTGTTTGAGTTGGTGCCGGATAGAGGAATTTTAACTTGGAACGAGATGATGTCGGGTTATCTTTATAATGGGCAAGCTGAATTGGCTTTGAGGAGCTTGGGTTTGATGGTTTTGGAGGGAATTAAACCAGATGAATATTCTCATGCTATTTGTATTGATGGTTGTGCTAGTTTGGCTTTGATGCAACTAGGGGTTCAGATACATTCGTGTCTTGTAAAGAGCGGGTTCGATAAGGATGTGGTTGTGAGGAATTCTTTGTTGGATATGTATGCAAAATGTGGCTGTATTGTTTCGGCGAAGCTTGTTTTTGATGAGATGCCAGCAAGTGATCCTGTTCTTTGGACTGCTATGATTTCAGCATTTGGAAAGTGTGGATTTGTTCAAGAAGCAATTGCATTGTTCGAAAAAATGGGCAAACTGGGAATTGTACGTGATGATATTGCTTGTCTCGCAATTTTATCAGCTTGTAGTCATGGAGGCTTAGTTAAAGAAGGTTGGCATTACTTTCAATCAATTTCTCCTAATGAAGAGCATTATGGATGTATGGTTGATATTTTGAGTAGAAATGGGCAACTAGACGATGCTCTGGATCTTATCAGAGGGATGCCAATGGAACCAAATGTTGCAATTTGGAGCTCATTTCTTAATTCTTGTCGTATGCATGGAAATGTTGAGCTTGGACGGTTTGCTGCATCTCAGCTTCTTGCAGTGGATTCAGAGAATCATAGCAATTGGGTTACTCTCTCCAGTATTCATGCTTCTGCAAGGGATTGGACCGAGACTTGGAGGGTAAGGGAGAGCATGAAGGGGGAAAATGTGAAGAAAGAACCGGGGTGCAGTTGGGTGGAAGTAAAGGATGGCGTTCATGTGTTTCTAACTGCTGACAAGAGACACCCAGAGTTATATGATCTCCTTCATAGTCTCTATACTTTTGAGAATGATTCAGTAATGAGTCCTGCTTGCAGTTGAGCTAGGCTATTATTAATAGTATCCAAGATGTGAATACTATCAACTCCAATCTAGAATTTGAATGTCCAAGTTGTAAATCCATGCCACAGAATACATTGTAAAAAGCAAATTGATTAAGTAATCCTTTTCATTCCTCTCCTTCTGCAGGTCATCTAGCTGGGTGAAAACTTTTGGCGATTCATTGCCATGGTGTTTATTGGCAAGACTCATCACCAATACAATCAAGCTACTATTAGTCAGAGACTCATCACCTTATTTTTGCTCAGTTAGTTTCACACCAATAGATATCTTCCAGCCTATTTGTTATTGATCTAGAAAGGATTTTCTTTTAGAAATTCAAGCAGAAATTAATTAATTGAATGTGTTCTTATTGAGATATATGCTATGGCTTCATTCAGTCAATAATAGTTGTCTACTGTGTCAGATATGGTTCCATTGAATTGAATCCATTATATAGAGTTTGCACTTTATTTGCTTTCTTTTGAATACAATCACGGGCATTCATTTTATTTTCATTTGATTTCAATTTGAGAGTTAATAATTTTTCATGTTGGAGTCACCAAAATCTAGTTACAATGTAGTTTTCCAACGAAGGTTATGGGATAATTGAAATCGTCCCCAAAAGGTACAAATACATATTTTGGAGCGTGCACGAGGTTTGGCGAAGGCTAAATGGTTGCCTAACCGGGGGCATTCATGATTTAGAGTTTGGATCAAGAACTCCATGAGAATTTGGTGTAGCCCAGTTTTTCCCCCTATCAACAACTGCAAGGAGAAGCTTCGAGTTGCGAACAGGGTATCCGAAAAGGTAATATCAATGAAGTTACTTCTCTGATCTCGCAATTGCCTTTCAGTAAATCTACTTAATTGGATATATAGGAACACAGTGCATGTGGGCAAATGCAGTAGGTTGTCTTGAATGATGGAAGAAATGTTGTAGACTGAAGAATAAAGGTTCTTACTAGAGCATGGTATCCAAAATTTCAGATTCTGATGTACATGATGCTTCAACTTCCCGTTTTCTTTCTCAAAATAGATAAAATTTGAAGAGCATACATCTAAAAAAAAGATGATTCTAACCGAACTACATTCTTCAAACAACATATACACCACTACCCACAGAAGTGCGGGTCCTTCCGCTTGGTTTGTCATTAAAATTGATGAGTCATAAGGGACACCACAACCTTCGAGTGCAGTAGTGTACTAGTATAAAAATTTATAGTGTAGTTATCACTAATCAAGTAAACTTCAACCATTTGTGCAGCACAGGATCATATTCTTTGCGTATTCTATGGTCTTGTAAACTGAAGAATAAAGGTGGTTACTTGAGCCTGGAGTCCAACTTTTCAGATTCTGACGTATGTGACTCCTCGACTTCTTTTGCACTCTCCAATAGATCAATGAAGGATTCCTCAAAAATAAATCAATGAAGGGAAAATGTGCCTGAGAAAAAGCAAAATAATTACAGAACAATTTCCAAAAGCAACAACATTTGCTGCTTGGCTTAATCTTCTGAGCCTTTTTTCTTGAAGAAGGAAAGCCCCTCTTTAAGGATCACTATAAAACAAAGAGATAACAGCCACCGTGATAATACATCTAAGCATGGCCAGTGAGCAGAAGATAACTGTGAATTTTTTGGTGGACAAGGTGAAGCAGAGGGTGGTGCTTGCGGAAGCGGACAGCGACTTTGTTGACATACTCTTCAGTTTTCTCACGCTGCCTCTGGGAACTATCATCAGACTTCTCAACAAACAATCTCATATTGGTTGCATGGACAAGTTGTATGAAAGTGTTGAGAATCTTGATGTGAAAATTTTCCAGACTGAGTCATGCAAGACGATGCTGCTGTTCCCTCGAAGTGCTGCAGAAGAAAGGTGTGAAGATCTAAAAGTAAATATTTGTAGAGCAGTATTGAGTCCGAGGACTACCTATATGTGTCAAAAACCTGATTGTTGTGCAAAGACCACATGCTTTGCTAGCTCTGTTCCGAAAGCTCGATGTCCTTACTGTCAAGAGACTATGGATATGATTAGAGCATGGCACAAAAGCGATGTGGATGCTGACAAATTATTTGTCAAGAGTGGATATAAGTTTATAATCAGCGATGACTTGCATATAACTCCGGCATCTGTGGAGCATTGCCTGTCTTTAATTCAGAAGCTTGGCATAGAAAATGCATGCATTCTCGAGCACAAGGCTATGGATCTTGGCACAGGCGAGGTAAAACCTATGAATCTTATAGATCACAGTTATACATGTATTATGATGATGAGTAGGGTTAAGAACCATTGGTCTATGGATCTATTTCTTTGTATTCCTCTACCATTAGCAGTTGGTGACTAGTTGAGACCTCTATTAGTCATCAACTTGCTGGTGAAGGAAAGAATAAAAAGATAATTGATCCATTTAGTAATGGTCAAATTAGTTTTTAGATAGTACGATTGCTCATGCTCCACTGTATAAAAGCTCTTTCCTATTTTTCTCTTGATTTCATTATTTCAATTCAAGTCCTTGATAATGATTTTTTCCTATACTTCTTACATAATTCCATCATCCCGGCGTTCCTTCTTGAAAAGGTAAGGAACTTGAGAGGAATAGCTAAACGAAATGAATTTAAAGAGTAAGAAAACCATGACGGGAAAGCAGCTAATAAAGTTTGATAACACAACACATTTTACCATTTATGGTGTAATAATATATCCCTTGATGTACCATGGACTTTTGTAAAACGAGAAATATAGTATAGTAAAGTGCTCTTGTTTGTTTTAACATTTATAATGGTATTTTCCAGCCATTATATACTTGTCAAAATAGTTAGTTAAGGTATCAGAAAAGTTCAGTTCATCCATGACAAGATAAAATGTTGAGGGAAGGGAAAAAAAGAAGGACAAAGCTTTATAGTTCTCTTAAGTTTCTTCCACCTAAACTGCATATTGGTCAATCCAAATAGATGATCTATATTGTTCATCTTCCTTCACGACCTTTCTCTTTGATGCTTGCTCGGTCTTATTTGAACTGACAATCTTTTTTATATTGACAAGTTCTTGCAATTATATCAATGAGGCTTCCTCTTGAGTCTGCAACCTATTCATGCTTCTATCCGTTGCAAATACTACAATGGTGAAGTGGGTTTTCTCCTTATTTCTTCTCAGAAGATTAATTTGCCCTCTAACCCATGTATTACTTTATTTTAACTCTTTTAGATCTTCCACCTCTTAGTGATTCATCTTTTTTGAATTTTCTTTGTTCGTAAATTTATGATTCCTTGTCAACAATTTTGGAGGCCAGATTGAGCTTGGATTGGAAGGTAGTTTCTAAAGCCGTCAACTTATGTCGGCTACTTTGATAAAATAATTTGTAGCTCCAGTTATTATCCCACTTCATTATTAAACTAGTTAAATTTTTCTGAAGAACTTTTTGATTGTGTGGAGTATCAACATATAGGTTTATTTGTTAACAATCTCCATATTGCCTAGAAAAGTTACCTGTTATGTATTCGTTTCATAGCAAAATAAGTGAAATTTTTGTCATTTAGAAAACAATAAGTGAAATTTTTTTCCCCCGCCAAAAGCATAGCAAAATATCAAAGCTGAACTTAGGCAGCAGCTGTATTTCAAGACAATAGTCATGATGCCGTCATTAACGATGATAACAAGCAACGATTATTTACCACTGAGATACACTATAAGGACAAATCCCACCTTTTCATTTGCAATGAAATGGATTTTCTCAGCAACCCTTGTACTTAAAACGGTGGTGTATTTTTCGCAGATACTGACATTGCTTGGAAGATTGCTTGTCTCCTATTTTCCACTGACCGACTTGTTCTTCAAAAATGTGGGAGTGGCTAATAATGTGTCGTCCGGAGTTGACGTTAGAAGCATGATACATGTTAAAGGAGAAGGCGACGCGGAGGCTGAATCAAATGAAATAGACATCAACTTGTTTGTAACCAAAGCGAATCAGGAAGTATCATTTGTGGAAGCTGGAGGAGAATTTGTGAACCTTGTCTTGAGTTTTCTAATGCTGCCTCTTGGCTCGTTGATCAGCCTCAAAAATGAGCAGTCGGTCATGGGAAGTGTTGATAACTTGTATTGGAGTGCTGAAAATTTTGGTGTAGAGAATTTCAAATCTGAGGAGTGCAAAAATATTCTTGTCTCTCCTAAGCTCGGTCCTTTTTGTGGCTACAATGATAGCATGCTAAAGTTAGATGAAAGCTCCCCTCATGAATTCTCTATGCGTGGTTGTTTCAGTTGCTACATGAAAAACAATAATACAGAATGCGCAGCTTCAAAATGTGCCCATGGCGTGGAGCGTGCAACTCTTAGAGAGTTGAACCCAAAATCTCCAGTGGGAGGAACAGAAACACGCGGTGGATATGCCAAGGGAAAATTCTTAGTGACTGCGGATCTTCGTGTATCACCGTTATCTACTGCCTCCACCACCCAAATCATCAAAAATCTGGCGATCTCCGTCTGCAACCTAGTGCCGAAGAGGGTTGTACTGGGACTAGGAGAAATCCAGGTGAGCGAACAAACAACGGTCAAACATTTGTCCATGGAAGATTCTAAAACTTCAAATAATGAATATTGTTAATTATTCCCTTGACACATGCATGATTTTTTGTCTTGTGGCAGGCTCTGAATCTTCTAAGATCTGCTGTGACATCTAAAACCCCGATTGATGAGGCGCTCGGTACTCGTCAGAAACATTAGTGGAGTGCGCATTCGTTTGCGTAGGACGAAATCAAGTCACTTGGTTCGTATATTGCCGCCTTTCTGTCACGATATATCCTAGTTTAATTTGTGATCCAGCAACTTAATGTAATGTAAGTGTTATGAAAATCTATACTCATTGTTATGTACGTTGTGATGTCAATGGTCATTTTATCAAATTAGCATCTGGTATTGAAATGGTTTGCTCTACATGTGTTTTTCTCTGCATGTGTTTTGCACCGTAGCATCATGAACATAACAGGTTGGAGGAAATTGAAGATGCCTTCTCGGTTCGCATAACATTGAGAAATTGTTTTGCAATGTTCCCGGGATTTTTTTTTACATATAAAAACCTTGCGTTTTTGGGATTTCCTCTCTGCATTTTTCTCTCTCTCTTCAACTTGTACATTCTCTGCAGGCCATCTGATGGATTGAGCATGCACAACAGCAAATGCAATGGTTTTTCTCACAAATGCAGAGAATTCTTATGTGCTAGTTTTTTTTTCTTTTTTTTTTAAATCTAATCTACCAACTTAAAAAATATAAGTAAGAAACAATTACACATGTGATGATGACAAGCGGACAACAAGCTCTTTCTGAATTGCAAAACCTAACCTATGAAACACATACTCAGCGGACCCTGCTGTCGCCACATTCTTATTCATGAATTTTTGTACTCTCCTGAGGAACTCCACCGCATCAGCTGCAAGGAAACCAAACGTATCGAAAACGGACGGGATGAAGCTGTGGTGATTGTCCTTGCAAGCTTGATCATGTTTGTCCACCTTTGCCTCTGCTGCTCTATCCGCTGCATGCCCAACCTTGAACTCTCCATTACCAAACCCCACCAACGGAGACACCCCTGTGCGATCAACACAAGCATGCTTCACCCCTGCTCCAATTGTAGACAAGAACGTCTGCCGGCCTAAGAGTAGATCTAGCCTCTCCAGGTGGAGTGAGGAAGTTGACTGACGCTTCCTTCTTTGATGAGATCTCTGCTCTTTGGAGGATATCATACAAGACATCTCTGACTAAGTCGTGTCTGTACTTGAACCCCGGCTGCTTCTGACAGTGGATGGCATGCTCTCCAAAAGCATCCATCTGCGTTCTACGACAAACTGGGCAAATTGTCCCCTCCACGAACAAAGGAACCAACAACATGTACCTGAGAATGGCCTGGTACTCCCCCGGAGTCATACGCTGCCACAATCCCTCAATAGGCATGGCCAACAAGAAATCCTGGGCGTGCTTTGCCCGCAGGCACTCAACAATCGCAACTTGTCTCTCCTGAAAGGTCAAACTCCGTCGATAGATCTCTACAAATGCTACCATAAAAGATGTCTGCCAAGTAATGCATTGGTTTTAGGAGGACAGACCTTTTAGTGGTGACTTGAAGAAGATCAACCTCAGGTAGCTTGGCTTGAAGAAAGGCTCGGGCAGAAGTAAAATGCCCACCTAAAGAAACCTCACCACAACCTCTCAAAATATGGTCTTGGAGCTCGATGGAGTGAATCCGAGAGGCCACAAAAGAAAACTGTATGGCGTCGGCCGCTGCATAGACCCCCAACCCGCCTGCCTTGATAGGTAAAGAGGCCAGCCTCCATTGTAGATCCCCGAAGCCTGGGCCTTCGGATGTGACAATGCTCTCGACTGACCTCCGAAGCGCAAGATCTGCTGTGACATCTAAAACTCCGATTGATGAGGCGCTCGGTACTCGTCGGAAACATTAATGGAGTGCGCATTCGTTTGCGTAGGACGAAATCAAGTCACTTGATTCGTATATTGCCACCTTTCTGCCATGATATATCCTAGTTTAATTTGTGATCCAGCAACTTAATGTAATGTAAGTGTTATGAAAATCTAAACTAACTGTTATGTACGTTGTGATGTCCATGGTCATTTTATCAAATTAACATCCGGTATTGAAATGGTTTGCTCTACATGTGTTTTGCTCCGTAGCATCATGAACATAACAGGTTGGAGGAAACTGAAGATGCCTTCTCGGTTCGCATAATAACATTGAGAAATTGTTTTGCAATGTTCCTGGGAATTTTTTCATCTGATGGATTGGGCATGCACAACAGCAAATGCAATGGTTTTTCTCGCAAATGCAGAGAATTCTTATGTGCTAGTTTTTTTTTTTCCTTACGAATGCAGAGATCTCTAATTGGTAACTATAAAAACCGTGGAGAGAAGAGGGAAGAAACTCGAGAGCCATGCAAAAAGGATGAAGAAAAGGAAAGAGCTGGTAAATATGATCACAATTTGCAAAACCTGCAGAAACTCCAATAAAGGAGAGGAGAAGAAGTACTTTTAGCAATTTTGTAGAAAAGGCGAGGGCAAATATGCAAAAGGTAATTCCCGCTAGAGGAAGGGCTTGAACCTTCGACCTTGTGGTTAACAGCCACACGCTCTAACCAACTGAGCTACTCCAGCTTGGTATTCAGCTGAAATATAAATATTTTAGTAGTAAAAAAAACACTTCCGGGAACTGAAAGAGAGTCTTTTTCCTATAAACCAACTTTCACTTCGATTTATACATAAACTATCTTTAAAGTTGATTTTTGTTGCAATCAATCACTTCCCAGTCAAATTTTCGTTAGAAAACCAAAAAATAAGCTTAAAATTTCAAGTTCGATGTACGTGAGTTGTAGCCTAACAAGACTTAAAATATTTAAAAAAAAGAGTCATGTACAATGTACAATGAATGCGATGCCAGTTTCTAAGGATACTTTTGGGTTTTAATTGAAGATTTTGACCGGGAGGTAATTGATTGCAGCAAAAACCAACTTTGAAGGTGATTTATATATAAATTGAAAATAAAATGTGGTTTCCATATAGTTACCTTATTTTTAAGGTGGTTTCTAGGGGGAAACCCTAGATATTAAACAAATTTATCTAGAGTTCAAGAAGTGAAGAAAATAATGATTCCATAAAATTCCCTGCACTGTTTCTAACCCTCAGTCCATATATATATATTTGGAATAAAATATAAGATTTCTATAGCTAAAAATATTTTTGGTTTTACCTACTTTTATTTAACCACAATTAACCGAACAACAATTGACACATATGCCAAAATTGTTTTCTTAGGGGAAAAGTGGGATCGAAACACTTAACTAAGATAGTTACTAATGAGAATTATTGTTCTGAAATGATTTATTTTTCTTCGCCATACTGGACTACCTAACGCATTGCATTGAAGCAGCAACCCAACGAAAAACCAAAGACTAGTATCCACATTTAAATCATGCTCTTCTTTCTGTCCCAATTTTGAGTCCAATTGATAACATATTTATCCTACCAACTGAAAAAATACAACAGAGTGAATGAGAAAATCAGTAGTTCTTACTTCAAAGAGCCAGCTGATAGATCCCTGCAATGAAATTTTTTTGAGTCTCTTACCAGGGGCCTATTTGTCAAAAAACAATTTTTGCTCTCTTTCAGCCCTCTCCTCGGCCCTCTCCAGCCTCTCATTCTCTCTCTCCACCCTCTCCCGCTCTCTTTCAGCCCTTTCCTCGGCCCTCTCCAGCCTCTCATTCTCTCTCTCCACCCTCTCCCTCTCCTGCATGTCCTTCTCCCTCTCATCTCTCTCCCTCTCCCTCTCCTGCCTCTCAGCCTACCTCACAGCCCTGTTCCCAAGAAGAGCCTGATCTTCAGAATTATGATCACCTCCACCGACATCATCCCCACAGATATCCTGCCTGTCCCTCTCCCTCTCATCTCTCTCCATCTCCCTCTCCTGCCTCTCAGCCTCCTTCTCAGCCATGTTCCCAAGAAGAGCCAGACCTGTCTCCTGCTCTCTTTCAGCCCTTTCCTCGGCCCTCTCTAGCCTCTCATTCTCTCTCTCCACCCTCTCCCTCTCCTGCATGTCCTTCTCCCTCTCATCTCTCCCCCCCCCCCTCTCCTGCCTCTCAGCCTCCCTCACAGCCATGTTCCCAAGAAGAGCCTGATCTTCAGAATTATGATCACCTCCACCGACATCATCCCCACAGATATCCTGCCTGTCCCTCTCCCTCTCATCTCTCTCCATCTCCCTCTCCTGCCTCTCAACCTCCTTCTCAGCCATGTTCCCAAGAAGAGCCAGACCTGCAGAATTATCACCTCCAGGAGGCGACGCTGCCGACGGTCGGGAGGGGGAGGAGGACGACGCCGACGGTGTGGAGCTGGTGGGCTCCTTGATTGTCCTGTATCCTAGGGCTTGGGCTTCGATTCCCGCGTCGACGGAAGATTCTGCAGCTGAGTGTGCCGACCGGTTAACTTCGGGAGGAGTCGACGCCGCCGACGGTCGGGAGGGGGAGGAGGACGACGCCGACGGTGTGGAGCTGGTGGGCTCCTTGATTGTCCTGTACCCTCTCCAGCCTCTCATTCTCTCTCTCCACCCTCTCCCGCCTCTCCAAGGCCCTCTCCCGCCTCTCATTCTCTATCTCCACCCTCTCCCGCTCTCTTTCAGCCCTTTCCTCGGCCCTCTCCAGCCTCTCATTCTCTCTCTCCACCCTCTCCCTCTCCTGCATGTCCTTCTCCCTCTCATCTCTCTCCCTCTCCCTCTCCTGCCTCTCAGCCTACCTCACAGCCCTGTTCCCAAGAAGAGCCTGATCTTCAGAATTATGATCACCTCCACCGACATCATCCCCACAGATATCCTGCATGTCCCTCTCCCTCTCATCTCTCTCCATCTCCCTCTCCTGCCTCTCAGCCATGTTCCCAAGAAGAGCCTGACCTGCAGAATTATCACCTCCAGGAGGCGACGCTGCCGACGATCGGGAGGGGGAGGAGGACGACGCCGACGGTGTGGAGCTGGTGGGCTCCTTGATTGTCATGTATCCTAGGGCTTAGGCTTCAATTCCCGCGTCGACGAAAGATTCTGCAGCTGAGTGTGCCAACCGGTTAACTTCGAGAGGAGTCGACGCCGCCGACAGTGGGGAGGGGGAGGAGGACGACGCCGACGGTGTGGAGCTGGTGGGCTCCGTGATTGTCCTGTATCCTAGGGCTTGGGCTTCGATTCCCGCATCGACGGAAGATTCTGTAGCTGAGTGTGCCGACCGGTTAACTTCGGGAGGAGTCGACGCCGCCGACGGTCGGGAGGGGGAGGAGGACGACGCCGACGGTGTGGAGCTGGTGGGCTCCTTGATTGTCCTGTATCCTAGGGCTTGGGCTTCGATTCCCGCGTCGACGGAAGATTCTGCAGCTGAGTGTGCCGACCGGTTAACTTCGGGAGGAGTCGACGCCGCCGACGGTCGGGAGGGGGAGGAGGACGACGCCGCCGACGATCGGGAGGGGGAGGAGGACGACGCCGACGGTGTGGAGCTTGTGGGCTCCTCGATCGTTAGGGATCCCCGGGCTTGGGCTTCGATTCCCGCGTCGACGGAAGATCGTGAGGCTGAGCGCACCAACGGGTTGACATGGGGAGTAGGCGACGCCGCCGACGGTCGGGAGGAGGAGGAGGACGACGGCGACAGTGGGTCGAAAGCGCTCCTCTTCCGAGCGACTTTTCGGTAAAACCGTCTGTCATTATCTCTCTCCACCCTCTACCGCTCTCTTTCAGCCCTCTCATAAGCCCTCTCCCGCCTCTCATTATCTCTCTCCACCCTCTCCAAGGCCCTCTCCCGTCTCTCATTCTCTCTCCACCCTCTCCCGCTCCGCCTCTCCTCGGCCCTCTCCTGCCTCTCATTCTCTCTCTCCACCCTCTCCCGCTCTCTTTCAACCCTCTCCAACCTCTCATTCTCTCTCTCCACCCTCTCCTGCTCTCTTTCAGCCCTTACCTCGGCCCTCTCTAGCCTCTCATTCTCTCTCTCCACCCTCTCCCTCTCCTGCATGTCCTTCTCCCTCTCATCTCTCTCCCTCTCCCTCTCCTGCCTCTCAGCCTCCCTCACAGCCCAGTTCCCAAGAAGTGCCTGATCTTCAGAATTATGATCACCTCCACCGACATCATCCCCACAGATATCTTGTCTGTCCCTCTCCCTCTCATCTCTCTCTATCTCCCTCTCCTGCCTCTCAGCCTCCTTCTCAGCCATGTTCCCAAGAAGAGTGTAGGGTGAATATTTGATTTCCCGAAAAAGGGAGTTTCGTTTGTATTTATAAGAAAGCTTATTACA